CCCCAACTGGGGCAGGAGATCAAACCTGCAACCAGGGTATGTGCCCTTGACTGGGAACCAAACCCACGACCCTTTAGAGTCAGGGGAAGGGAGGGGGGGAGAGAGAGAGAAACATCGACCATCTGCCTCCCGCATGCCCCCTACCAGGGATGGCGCCTGCAACCCAGGCATGTGCCCTGACCCGAATCGAACCAGCAACCTTTTGACCCATGGGACAACTCCCAACCAACTCAGCCACACGGGCCAGGGCTATTTAATTAGTCCCCCTATTGATGAATGATTCATTTATTCCTTCCTCAAATATTTATTCAGCACATACTATGTGCCAGGTGTGTAATAGTTGCTGGGGGCCCACTTAGTGATGTGCTGGAGCCCGTGTGTATTGACTTCCAAGAGTCACTGTTTGGAATTAATGAGTGGACCATGGTGGGACAATTTTCACCACAGGTGCTGGCAAACACTACAAATCAGGGCTCTATTTTTATTTTCCAGTCAGACTGTATCATATCATGGAGAACAAAGCAGACAAAAATCCCTGCTCTCATGGTAATTATATTCTAGTGGGGAAGACAGTAATGAAAATAACTAGAAAGGCATACAGTAAAATACAGATGCTATGAAGGAAAATTAAGCAGGGAACTAGACAAAGGAATGCTAGGGGTCCAGTTATGATTTAAGTTAAAGTGCTCAGGGAAGGCTTCATTGAGGAGGTAACATTTGAGTAAAGAAGCAAGCGTTTCAGGGAAGGAGTGAACAGAGATATTTGGAGGAAAAAATGTTTCAGGTGGAGTGAACAGCATGTGCGAAGGAGGAGCAGCAGGAGGTTCATGTGGCTGGAGCAGAGGGAACGAGGGGGAGAGAGGGAGGAGATGAGAGCAGGGAGGGGCGCAGGTCATGCAGGGGCTAGGGGCATCTGAGAGGACTTGGGCTTTTACCTCAAAGGAGGTAGGAGCCGTGAAGGGTTGTGAGCACAGCGGAGATGGGACCTGAGTTGGGTGCTCACAGGCGCCCTGCTGTGGCTGCTTCGGAGAGCACAGGCTGCAGGAAAAGAGGGTGGGAGCCCAGGATCCAGGGCAGAGGGGACTGGCACCCCTCAGGTAAGTGATGATGGGGCCCGCCCGGACCCCGAGGAGGCAGAGGAGGGGCTGTTAGTGTTTTTCCTCCCCCCCCCATTTAAAATAACACAATGATGTTACAGTTCATTTTTTTAATTTTTAAAAATTTTTAACATTTTAATACAGTTCAGATTTCTCTGTTTCATTTCAGCTCCTTCACTGCCAAACCTGTAGGCAGGGACTGCTTCAGTTTCTCTGCCTTCTCTTTGTGTTGATCAAGATATAAAGGTATCTACTGCATCAGACTTTAAACTTCACATTATCTTTATTTTTCTTGGTCTTGGCAGATCTGGTATCCATTTGCCTGGCTGTGAGCAGGAAGTCCCTGATTTCTTCAATTTTGCGAGGCATGGCTGGGAGGCACACAGAGAGCCTGTGGCTGGCATCTCAGGTTACCCCGCTATTCTCCATGTACCCCCCAAGAGGCACTCACAGCAAGTGGCAAGAAGTGAAGAGCCATTTTCATTTTTAAAAAACACTGCTGTAGTGCTGGCTTTGGCAGCACATATACTAAAAATCAAAAAAACACACACTGCTGTCATAAATTCGTCAAAATGGATTTGCAGACTCAAAGGTTTTGCATTTAAAAGTTAAAACAGGCCTGGGCAGCATGGCTCAGCAGTTGAGCATCGACCTAGGATCCAGGAGATGGAGGTTCGATTCCTGGTCAGGGCACATGCCCGGGGTTGCAGGCTTGATCCCCAGCAGGGGGCGTGCAGGAGGCAGCTGATCAATGACTCTCTCATCACTGACGTTTCTATTTCTCTCTCTCCCTCTCCTTTCCTCTCTCTCAAATCAATAAAGACATATCCAAAAACAGAAATTTAAAAGTTAAAACATTTCAAATATTTAAGTTTGAAATCTTCGAACACTAAGAATAGAAGTAGCCTTCCTTCCCCATCACCAATTTTTCTAACAGTTTATTATGAAAACTTTCAAGTGCATAGAAAAGTTGAAAGAATTTTACAGTGAATTGTCATATGCCCACAGTCCACTTTCTCCAACTGCCATTTTCTATATCTGCTCTATTATATACCTATCCATAAATATATCAATTTTTATGCATCTCAAAATATACCACACTTATTAGGATGGCTATAAAAAATTGGAAAATAAGTGTTGGTGAGAATGTGGACAAATTGGAACCTTTGTGCACCGTTGGTAGGAATGTAAAAGGGTGTAGCTGCTGTGGAAAAGTTGGCAGTTTCTCAAAAAGTTAAACATAGAGTTACCATATGACCCAATAATTCCACTCCTAGGTACTTGCACAGCCATGTACACTGAAGCATGATATACAATAGCCAAAAGGTGGGAACAACCTATGTCTATCAATAGATGAATAGATAAACAAAATGTGGTCTATGCACTACAATAGAATATTATTCAGCCTTGAAAAAAGGAAGGACATTCTGACAAACGTTACCATGTGGATGAACCTTGTGGGTATTATGCTCAGTGAAATAAGCCAGACACAAAAGGACAAATATTGTGCGATTCCACTTTATGAGGTCCCTAGAGGTGTCAAATTCATAGAGGCAGAAAAATATAATAGAGTTTGACAGGGCCTGAGGCCACTGTGACTAATGCTGCTATGAACATGGGTGTACAATTGAGTCCCTGCTTTCATTTCTCTTGAGTGTATACCTATGTTAATTTTTTGAGGAACCACCATACTGATTTGACATAGTTGCCTGAAAACTCTCTTTTTCTTGTGTGGACAGTATCCTGGTGACAGCCAGTGGTGGCTTGGACCATCATGGGGGAAGTGGCTAGTGACTAGATTCAAACTCTATTTCAGAGGTAGAGTCGACAGGACTGTGGATGGACAGGATGGGGAGGCTAATGATCAGTGGCCACTCCATTCCCCCCACCCCCCAGTTACTCAAGTCAACATCCTTGTACTTATCCTTGACAGGATAAGACTCTCCCAAATTTCATATCCAGTCCACCTGCAAACCTGTTTGCTCCATCTTCAAAATTAACCCAGAATCCCATTGTCTGCTTTTTTCACACATCAGCCTGAATGATCCTTTTTTTAAAAAAATCCTCACTCGAGGATATGCTTTAGAGAGAGGAAGAGAGAGAGAGAGGGAGAGAGAGACGGAGGGAGAGAGACTTCAATCGTCTGCTTCCCCTATGTGCCCTGACCCGGGATAGAATCCTAGAATCCACAACCCAGGAATGGAATCCACAACCTTTTTTGGTATAGCGATAACGTTCCACTAACAGATCCACCTGGCCAGGGCCTGAATGATCCTCTTAACACCTAAGTCAGGGCATGTCTTTCCCAGATTATGACAAGACCAGTGGCTTCTCAAGGGTAAAGCCTGCAGGTTGTCTTGTTCTCAGCATCTGTAGAGTAAATGAATTGTCTTTTTTAAATCCCTCAGTTCCAGCGGTTTTGCTCAGTGGTTAGAGCTTCCTCCTGAGGACTGAAAGGTCCTGGGTTTGAATCCCACCAAAACCCAATCAGTGTCTCTCTGTCTCCCCCACTTCCACTCTCTCTGAAAAGCAAAGAGGCCCACACCAAGACACATCATAATTAAAATGCCAAAGGTTAAAGACAAAGAGAGAATCTTAAAAGCAGCAAGAGAAAAGCAGTTAGTTACCTACAAGGGCGCACCCATACAACTGTCCGCTGGTTTCTCAACAGAAACTTTGCAGGCCAGAAGGGAGTGGCAAGAACTATTCAAAATAATGAAAACCAAGAACCTACAATCAAGATTACTCTACCCAGCAAAGCTATCATTTAGAACTTAAGGACAGATAAAGAGCTTCACAGATAAGTAAAGCTAAAGGAGTTCATCACCACCAAACCAGTACTACATGAAATGCTGAAGGGTGTTCTTTAAGAAGAAGCTAATGAACAAAAGAATCTGACAAACAAACTAGACCCAGAGACACTGAAGCATGCAACAGACGGTTGTATCGCAAAGGGAAGAGGGAACGGGAGTGGGGTGGGTGGGAAGAGACTAACCAAAGAAGTTATATGCATAACCCTGTACACAGACAATAATGGGGTGAAGGCCTGGGGAAGGGGGTGTGAGCGAGGTGGAGGGGGTCAATGGGAGAAAAAATGGGATACCTATAATACTTTCAACAATAAAGATAAATTTTTTAAAAAAGGCAATGGAAAAAATGTCTTTGGGTGAGGATCGAAAAATGAATATTTAAATAAATAAATAAATGCCTCGGTCCCCAGTCTTGGCCACGCCCTAGAACTTTGACCACGCCCCCGGGACCCTGCGCATGCTCCGTGGCTAAGCACCGCTCGCCCCACCCCCGCCCCGCTCCCGGGGCTGAATGGGCACAAACCTTTTCCACTTATATCTGGCGCGGGAGGCTGCGGAGACACGCTCCTGGGAAAGGATGGGCGTTGGGCTCCGCCTTCCCTGAGGAATACTATTCTCAGGCGCCGCCTGGTGTGGGAGTGTGCGCTCTAGTGCCGGCGCCGACTCGCGCTTCCGGGCCTCCTCCGCCACAGAGCCTTTGGCTGCCCCGTCTCCCACCTTCCGGCGCTGCGTTGGTGCCGTCCGTTCAGGTCACGTGGCGGCAACATGGCGGCTCCTAGAGCACACGGCAAGCTTCGCGGCCCTTGAGGCGGAGGCGGAGGCGGCGGGAGCGGACCGGGCGCGCGGGTTCTGCGTCTCTGGAGCTCAGGTGTACCCGCGGCTGGGAGCACGGTGCGGAGCCCGGACCTGGCGGGCGGACACGGGGAGGACGCCTCGTTGGGGGGGCGCGGCGCCCGGCTCCGGGAGTCTGGCTGGCGGTTTGCGGCCACTCCTTGAGTCCCGGCGAGCTCTTTCCCCCGTCTTCTAGGGACCCGGTTTCCCGGGATGCCTTTGCTGGGGGCCCAGCGCGTGTTGGGGGTACCATATCAGAAGACTTCTTTCTTGGGGTCCTGGGAGAACCAGTTTGTGAGGGACCCGGGTAGACAGATCTTCAGGCATCTGGTTCCCTGGAGTCTTTCAAGGAGAAGGATCCTGCTAGCAGTCCTGAGGGGTTCCATGTGGGGCAACCCCTAAGGGTGAGGGGGGGAGCCTCTTTACTCGAGAGATCTTTTCGTTGAGAATTCTTGGTATAGAGAGGTCTTTAGGAGGGGAAGGGATTTCGAGGATCCAGGTCTCCTCTTCCTCTATGCCTTACTAATTCATCTTGCCTGTCTCTCAGACCTTCACGGGTGAGTGGATTTCCACATTCTGCTTTGGTTGGGGGCTGATTCCGTCAACCCCATGCCCACACCCTAGTCCCCCTTCCCGCTAAGAAATAGGCCCCAGGTGTGAGCTGTGGGCTTCCAGGTGGTAGGTGTACTCTCGTCCTCCTGAGCACAGAGGCGGGTGTGGGGCTCCTTGCAGAAATGTTTAATACTAGCTCAGGTTTTTTAAGTGCACACTGGGTGCCAGTGCTTGTGCTTGGTGCTCTGTGAGGGTAACTTCATTCACAGTAACTCTGTGAGGTCCCAGTGCCCCTTTAGCCCGTTTTACAGATGTTGGCAGATTTATACTGTGTATAAAGTGTTTAGTAACAGGCATGGCAGGCAGTAAATGTTCAATTCATCCGACAAATATTTATCAGGAGTCCTGGGTCCTGTCTGCCCTTGACTTGCTGTGGCTCAGTCCTGGCTTCTATGGATTCTGATTATCCCTCTTTCAGGAGTCGCCTCCTTTGATGGTCACCTGTGTTCAAGCAGCTGTACCTCCCTCCCTTGTTAAACCCTGGGTGGGACCTGCTGACGCTGCTGGGAGCCAGAGGGCTGCTGGCATGCTGCAGCTTGCTTGTCATGTTTATTACACAGCCTCCAGGTCCTCATTGGTCTAGAGGACTGAGAGGGGAACCCTCCTTCCAGCCTCAGCTGTGTCTTTTCATCTTATTTCATCCAGTCAACACAGCGTCTGATTTAGGGCTTGACTCTGGAACCCAGCCACCTGGATTTATAACTTCATGTTGTTTCTAAGCAAGTCATTAACCTCTCTGTGCTTCTGTTTCCTCTCCTGTAAAATGATGCCAGTCCTGGTACCTGTCTCATCTGGTGTGGTGAGAATTAAATTATTTCATAGCTATAAAGGGCTTAGAAGAAGTGTTTAGCACATAGCACATGCTCTGTAAATGTCAGCTGCTGTTACTGTTAGGGTTATTGTTCTTATTGAGGACCTTCTGTGTGCTGACAATACAGCAGTGACTGAGAGAAACTCCATCCCTGCTTATAGTGAGGGATCAGAAGGACCGTAATCAGCTAAACCAATAAATATTCAATATGGTATCTAGTAGTGGTAAGTGCTTCAAAGAAAAGATAAAGCAGACCAAGGGAAAAGATATAGAGGAGTAACATTGAAGATTGTAATCAGGGAAGACTTCCCTGAAGAGGTAACATTTGAGACTCAAGGAAGTGAGAGAGCATGGGGGCATTTTGGGAAGAGTGTTCCTGAGGGAGAGAACAGCTCATCAAAGGCCCTGGGGCAGGACTGTGCCTGGTGTGTTGGAGGAACAGTGAGGAGGCCTGTTCGGTGGAACGAAATGAGCGAGGGGAGAGGGATGAAGTGAGGATGGGGAGGGGACAGGGGCAGGTCATATAAGGTCCTTTGGGACTCTCAAGGAGTTTGAGGTAGTGAGGCACCATAGGAGGATTTTGCAAGAGAGTCACATGGTTCATTTATATGCTGAAAGGATTCCTGTATTATTAGTTACCTGTGCTGTGTAACAAATTTACACAGTGTTTCTTATGACCTACCCTCAGAAGTCACACTGCCATATCTTCCATATTCTGTTGTTTACACAGGTCAGCCCTATTCATTGTGGGAGGGTGCCACACAGGGCACTGATACCAAGAGGTGGGGGCCATTGGGAGTTATCTTGGGAACCAACTTCCACAGTCCCTTTGGCTGCTGTGTGGAGAGCAGACCCTTGGAGGTCATTGCTGATATATAGGCCAAAGGCCCAGAGAGGGAAAGTAACTTAGGGAGGTCTACGCATTAAGAAGGTAGGGCCAGACCCAGACTTTCAACCTAGATACTCAGAATGGACAGCAGGTAGGAAGCCACTTCTCCAGGTTCTAAATGAAATGGACATGTCATTGAGCAGAAGGATGCCTCTAACCTGGCCTTTTGCTTTTCCATGGTAAGGTTCTTGTGCCTGAGAGGAGACAAGGAAGGAAAAAGGCGTGTGCTATGGTGACCAAGCAGGAGGTGGAGGCCATTGGGCAGACTCTGGTGGACCCCCAGCAGCCCTTGCAAGCCCGGTTCCGGGCGCTCTTCACACTTAGAGGGCTTGGTGGCCTGGACGCCATTGACTGGATCAGCCGGGCCTTCAGTGATGACTCTGTCCTGCTCAAGCATGAGCTGGCCTACTGCTTGGGTCAGATGCAGGACCGCCGGGCCATCCCTGTGCTGGTAGATGTGCTGCGGGACACCTGCCAGGAGCCCATGGTGCGCCACGAAGCAGGTGAGTGGCGAGGTGAGGGAATGGGCGCCCGTCTGCCTCTTGCGTCAACTCATACACGATCCAAACCAGGGCTCAGCAAATCTTCTCTGTAAAGGGTAGTAGGTATTTTCAGTCCTGCTGGCCAGACAGGCTGTTGCCACAACTCAATTCTACCATTGTAGCATAAAAGCCACCATAAAACAGTCAACAGATGGGTGTTGACACATGCCAGTATTTCATTGGTGCTGAGATTTGAATTTCATATAATTTTCACGTGCCATGGAATATTATCCCTTTGATTAAAAAAAAATTTTTTTAGCCCTGGCTGTTGTGGCTTAGTGGTTAGAATGTTGTCCCGTGCACAGAAGGGTCATGGGTTTGATTTCCTATCAGGGCACATACCCAGGTTGTGGTTTCGATCCCCAGTTGGGGCTTGTGTGTGAGGCAACTGATTGATGCTTCTTTCTCCCTCTCTTTCTAGAATCAATGAAAAACAGCCTCGAGTGAGGATTAAAAAAATAACTTTTTTTTTTTAAACTATAAAAACCATTCTATACATATAAAAACAGTTGGTGGGCTATAGATTGCCAACCCCTTTTTCATCTACTCATTTCATTCACTGGACAAATGTTTTTTGAGTGCCTATTGTGAGCTGCTTTGAGGTGCCCAGATCCTTTCTACTAATCAACATGCGCGCTCTCTGCCTGGTTCTTCTTAGGGGAGGCCTTGGGGGCCATCGGGGACCCAGAAGTTTTGGATATCCTGAAGCAGTACTCGACCGACCCTGTTGTCGAGGTAACTGGGCCAGGCCCTCCCTCTCCCTGCCCTCGCCTGGACCAGCCTCAGACCCTGGGTCTGTTTGCCATGATGACTACTTGGCTAGGGATTCTGGGGAGAGGTGGTAGTCTGGATGAGTACAGGCTGCTGCCAAATGAGGCAAAATGAACACTTCATTTCCATCAAAACCTGCCCTGCTCAGCTCACCTGTCCCAGGCTTTTAGCCACTGCGGAACTGTCGTTACCTCTCTGGCACCTCCACCGTCCATCCTTCTCATGGTCTCTCATCACCTTTATGATAAAATCCGAAGTCCTCACTGTGTCCCACACACCCTAAATAGTCTGTTCTGACCACCTGTAGTAAGGTCACCTCTGTGGTTAACTCCCCCTCAGCTTTTCCCTGACAGGTCCGGCAGGTCCTGCCTCAGGGTCTTTGCATTGGACGTTTCCACCTGACTCCATCTCTCACTTGGTTCTGATGTCACCTCCACATTGATCTGTTCCCTGGCCCTGTCTCTCTCATCACTTCCTAATTACCCCGGAGGATAGGGAAGGGGGCCTGTGAGGCCCACCGCCATGTCCCCAGGGGCCACCTACCACCCCTTTCTCTGCAGGTGGCTGAGACGTGCCAGTTGGCTGTCTGTCGACTGGAGTGGCTGCAGCAATGCAGTGGGAAGCCAGCAGCAGTAGGGCCCTACCTCTCAGTGGACCCGGCTCCTCCAGCCAAGGAGCATGATGTGGGGCGGCTGCGGGAAGCGCTGCTGGATGAAGCCCTGCCACTCTTTGACCGATACCGAGCCATGTTTGCCCTGCGAGATGCTGGTGGCAAGGAGGCTGCCCTGGCACTGGCTGAGGGTGAGGAAGGGCCCCTGGGTGAGGTCTAGTGCCTACATCTGTGACATGGAACAACTTGTTCCAGGGGATGTGTACCCTGGGCCTGGCCTGCAGCACTTCCCCATGGGCTTTACACAAATTAACTCCTCAGAGGTGGGTGGGCAGTCTTATTACCCCCATTCTCCATGGGTGTTACTGAGGCCCAGAAAGGCAAGGAGATGTGCTTGAGGTTACACAGGCAGTCAGCAGACTTAGGATTTGACCCTCGGCAGCCTGGCTCCAGAGTCCTTAACCTCTTTCTGTTATTACTTTACCCCTTGGGTGCCCAGCTCCTTGTCCCGTCCCCCCCCCCCGTCCTCACCTGCTTTGATGTCACTACCCAGCCAGTGATTTCTCTGTCTCCCCTACTCCCTCCCACAGGCTTGCGCTGTGGCAGCGCCCTCTTTCGCCATGAAATTGGCTACGTTCTGGGTCAGCTGCAGCACGAGGCGGCTGTGCCCCAGCTGGCTGCGGCCCTGGCCCAGAGGACTGAGAGCCCCATGGTGCGACATGAGTGTGCGGAGGCCCTGGGAGCCATAGCCAAGCCCACCTGCCTGGCTGCTCTGCGGGCCCACATGGCCGACCCCGAGCGTGTGGTGCGGGAGAGCTGTGAGGTGGCCCTGGACATGTACGAGTATGAGATGGGATCGGCCTTCCAGTATGCAGATGGGCTGGAGCAGTTGCACTCGCCCCCCTCTTAGAGCTACCGCCAGCCTGGCCCTCTCCCCTAAGGACTCAGTATATAAACAGAATTGTGTGATTTGGATCTTGCTTCCCTGGCTCCCTAAACCTGTTCACTTGGGCAGACCTCAGATGCTTTCGCATCTTGAGCCCCCCACTCCCGGGGCAGGCTGAGGTCTCCATTGTCCCCTACTGAGGGGCCTAGCACAGGTGCAGTGCACCAGGTGGAATATCAGCATGGGAGGAGGATCTGGGTGCGGGGTGCTATGCTCTGGGGAGGCTGGGTTGCCCAGCTTCTTCAGGAATGAGGGTGTCTGGATAAAGGCACTGTGGGGAAACCTGTGCCCAGTGGGCCTGGGCAGGGTCTGGGCCTCTAACTCCCACTCCAGGCCCTGGGTGGGCTGGGCTAGGGACTTGGATCAAGTAACAGGCCCCAGGTCACTGCTTAAGTGGAATATTAAATTATTTTTGCCAAGCAATCACTGTGTGTGTTGGGAGGCTGTGAGGCTTAAGCTGGCTGCTCACGGAACGTCTAAGTGTGTGTGGGGGGGGCTGCAGGGCATTTGGAGAGCTCAGCTCAGCTCTGCGATCTGCCCTGTGCCGGACAACATGTGACCAATGCGGGCCTGTGTCCCGCTTCATCACCATTCCTTGGCACAACGTCTAGTCAGTCCCCCACATTTCTCCTGCTTTCTATGGGTCAACAACAACCCTGATGCAGGTGGAGGGGATTCCATGAGGGCACAGGTACCAAGAGGTATGGTCCTTGGGCACAGCTACAGTGGTACCTTTGTTTTCTAATGTAATCCATTCCGGAAGACCGAGTTCTGAAACGTTTGAAAAACCGAGGCAAAGTAGAAAGTAATGCAAAATGGATTAATTCGTCCTGGACCTTTAAAATCAACCCCTAAAACAGCAATTTAACATAAATCTTAACTATCTAATGATACCACAGATCCATAAAATGATACACAATGAAAATGTAATTTTTTCTTACCTGCAGTGATGATAGTCATTGTTTGGATGGGGGGATCCCCTGCAATAATCACAATAGGTGACTGTTCTTCAGGTGTTCTGTGGTCCTCTTCCAGAATCACTGCAGGTGACTCCTCCCCTGCCATTCCTTCCCTTGATTTTTTTACACCATTGACACCTGGTTCAGACTCACTGGATCTTTTCCTTACTAAAAATTTTTCAAGTGACATTTGTTTTTTCTGATGTTTTAAAATTTGTCTAAAGTGAGACAGCATTATCATTGAAAGTTTAGTGGCATGATGTACAGCAGCTTTATCAGGGTGATAATTTTTCAACAAAAACCCATTTTGCACACATTTCTTTGATCAGTGCAATAGAAACACTTTCTCTTCCCTCCTCTGAAGACAGTTCCTCAATTGCCACCTGTTGCTGCTCCATCAAAATGCTTTGAAGTTCTGTGGCACGTCCAGGCTTATGCTCCACTAACTGCCACATCATCACTACTCACTCCCAAGCCCATGGCCTTTCCCAGAGACACGATATCCTCAACAAAAGGAGCGTCCTCTTCAACATCCTCAAATACACGTTCAGGGACAGCTTCTGGCCAGTTTCTTCTATGCTGATTTCATTGTTCCATGCTTTGTCTATGAGATGTAAGCAAAGTAGGATATTGAAATGATTCTTCCAGAACTCTGTTAGCTCTGTGTCCAAGGTCATCTCAAAGCACCTTTGGAACAGTGCTTTGGTATAAAGCTGCTTAAAATTAGATATGACCTGCTGGTGTATGGGCTGGATGAGTGGAGTCATGTTGGGGGCGCAAAAACTTTAATAAAACTGAACTCTTCCATCAACTTGCCCTCCAAGCCTGGAGGGTGAACTGGAGCATTACCCATAACAAGCCGGCACTTCATTGGAAGGTTTTTGTCTTGGAGGTATTTTTTTACACTTGGCCCAAACACTTCATGAACCGACTCAATAAAAAATTGCCTGGTTACCCAAACTTTGCTGTTTGCCCTACACGTCACGTGCAATTTGCTTTTTATGACGTTTTTCTTAAATACACTGGGGGTCTCAGAATGGTAGACTAGCAAAGGCTTCAACTTAAAACCCCCACTTGTGTTCCCACAAAATAAAAGCCTGTGTTTCATGGGATTGTGTCCTGGCAATGCTTTCTCCTTTGTTATGTAGGTCCTCTGGCATTTTCTTCTAAAAGAGGCCTATCTCATCACAGTTGAAAACTTACTGGGGAAGGAAACCCTCTGCCTCTACTTAACCTTTAAATTCCAAAACAAATTGGTCAGCGTCTTTGTTGGTACTGGCAGCTTCACCGTGTCTCACCATGCTGTGAATGCCACTTAAACTTTTCAAACCACTCTACTTGCTTTGTAAATATCACTCTCAGCACTTGTTCCAGGGGTGTTTTTGATGAGGTCAGCATGCAAATATAAGCTTTTTCACAAATCATGCTCTCAGAAATGCTGTCATCTGCCAGCTGTTTTTCATTTATCCATATGAAAAGCAACTTTCCCACTTCTCCAATTGTCTGTGTTCTTTGTCTTGTGTTTTAACACCTCTTGCAACATTGGCTCCTTTAATGGCTTATTTTTTAAGATGGTACAAATTGTAGATTTGGCCATACAAATTGTGTTGCCAGAACACATAAACGGACACCACTTTCATGTTTGGAAATAATTCCCTTCTTCACCTCTATTGCTGTTAATGATTCTCTTGGCTTTACAGCTTTTATCATTTCTCATAGCAAGGGGATTGGCAGAGGGCTCCTGAGATGGCATGAACACAGATTTACTGCACACAGTCACAAAAACAAATTGGTTGCACAGATTGATTGCACACAGTCACCAAATAAGCCCAAATATCACCATGTTGCGCGGGTGCTCGGGTCAACAGCCAACAGCCGGGCCTCAGGATCTTGCCCTCAGCGGAAGCCGTGTGGCATGTTTGACTTCCGAGGCGTGTTCGAAACCGAAGCATTTCCTTCCGGGTTTATGGCCCTTTTAAATCGAAATGTTCATCAATGGAAACATTTGAAAACTGAGGTACCACTGTATGACCCCCTTTTTTTAAATCCTCACCTGAGGATTTCCATTACTTTTCAGAGAGAGTGGAAGGGAGGAGTGAAAAACGTCGATGTGAGAGAGGCACGTTGGTTGGTTGCCTCCTCAAGGGCCCTGACTAGGGCTGGGGGCTGGGCCTGCAGCCCAGGAACATGCCCTTGGCGGGAATTGAACCCGAGGCCTTTCAGTTTACAGGCTGACATGCTAACCACTGAGCCAAACCAGCCAGGGCCAAAACACAGCCTCTTTTCTGCTCACAACTCTTCTGGCATCAAGTGCGTGAATTTTCCACAGCAGTTTTCTATTTCTCTGCGGATACCAGCTGCTGTCCTGTAAGTCTTGACACTAATGACCCGGAATTAGTGCAGACCCTACAGTTTCAGGACACAGGAATGCCACCACTTTAAACAGGTTCCAAGCCCAGTCCTCCTGTACCTTTGATCCATCAGGGTTCTCACAACCCCCTCCTCAAATTTGAGGATTTGCTAGGACAGTTCACAGAACTCAGGAAAAGACTTTACTTACCCATTTATTGTAAAGGACACACAGGGCTAGTTCTGGAAGGGTCCTGAGCACAGGCGCTTCTGTCCCAGTGGAACTGGGGTGCCCTGCACCACCTTCCTGGAATGTGGAAGCCCCCTGAGCTCCTTGATTTCATGTTTTTATGGAAGGTCCATCACTTCAGCACTGCTGGTTGGTGCAGGCAGGGTCCGGGGTGGGGTTAAAAGTTCCCCCTCATCTGGCTGGTGTTGCTCAGTGGTTGAGCATCAACCTATGATCCAGGAGATTGAGGTTTGATTCCCGGTCAGGGCACATGCCCGGGTTTCAGGCTCGATCCCCAGCAGGGGATGTGCAGGAGGCATCCGATCAATGACTCCCTCACTATTGATGTTTCTATCTATCCCTCTCATTTCCACTCTCTGAAATCAATCAAAATTTTAAAAATAAGAGTTTCCTTTTACTCATGGTTAGTTTATGGGCCTCAGCCCCATCCTCATTAGCCCAGCTCAGGTATAGTGGGAGGGGCGAATTAAGAAGCACAAAGGGACTCACCCTCATCACTCAGGAAATGACAGGGTTTTAGGAGCGCTGTGCCAGGAACCTGGACGAAGTTCAAATATACGTTTCTTATGATCTCAGTGTCACCGGCACCCCATCTTCCTGGGAACTCCTCAGGAACCCTGCATTTGCCCAGCTTCTCTTCCCCCCACTCTGGGACCCCGCAGTCCTCCTCTCCCCCTCTTCCCCTCCACTGTCTGTAGGGGAATCTAATCTCACCTGTGCTGAGTCGGGGCTCCCCTGAATTCCACACTCGAGGTCCAACTGCCCCTCCACATCTCCGTTTGATGTTGATGAAACGCCCCAAACCCAGTATGTCCTTACATTTCCTCATATTACTTCCGAAGTTGCTTCTCCCACAGGAAGTGGAAACTCCATCATTCTAGGTGCTCAGCCTAAAAACATTCAGGTGTGACCAATTTAAAACCTACCCCAGGTGCGCACACTTGCCTCCTCTCTTCTACCTCCACCCAGGTCCAGCCCCAGCATCGCCAACCTGGACCAGCTCAGTTCTCTCTGCCTCCATTGGCCACAGCCTGTCCTCCCCACAGCAGCCACCAGAGGGTGCCATTGAGCACCCGAGTCAGGTTTCTTCTCTGCCCACAGTCCTCCAGGGCTCCCACCTCGCTGGGGATGGGGAGAAGCCCAAGTCCACCCCAAGGCCCACAAATCCCTGCACAACCTGCCCCATCCTCTCCCTGCCCTCACCTCCTCTCCTCCTTGCTCACTCTGCTCCAGCCACATGGGCCTCCTTACTGTTCCTCCAACATACCAGACACAGTCCAGCCTCAGGACCTTTGCACAGGCTGTTCTCTCTGCCTGGAACACTTTTCCCCCTGGTACCTCCATGGCTGGTTCCCTTCCTCCTCTGGGTCTCTGTTCACATGTCATCTCAGTATGGCATTAGCTACCCTGTTTTAAACTTTAACTACCCTCCAAGCAGTACCAACCCCTTAGACCATGGTCTCTGCCCCTCCCCACCCCCAATACCACTCTTCATTTTTTTCTTTTTTTTAATCTTCACCCGAGGATATTTTCCCATTGCTTTTCAGAGAGAGTGGAAGAGGGTAGGGGAGGGAGAGAGAGAGAAACATCCATGTGAGAGAGACACATCGCCTGGTTGCCTCCCCCATGCGCCCCAACCAGGGCTAAGGATTGAACCTACAACCGAGGGAACCCTTCAGTCCTCAGGCCAACGCTCTAACCACTGAACCAAACCGGCCAGGGCCCATTCTTTATTTTTTAATCTAATACATAATTTAGCCTAAGGTTATGTTTTTTTCAGTCCATTTCCCCACTTTGAATGTCAGCTCCACGAGGGCAGGGGTTTTCCCGGGAGAGGGCAGAGCCCGCGCGAAGGCCTCGGGCGGAGATGCGCAGGCCCCGCAGGTGTGGCTGGCGCGGAGCCGGGAGGGCTCCCGGGCGGAGGCGATTACGGCTGCGATTCATCCAGGCAGATGGTGGCCGTAGGGAAGCCCGATCTGCTTACCCAAAGCCCCTTAATACTTCCGCTGCACGGGTCACCTCTGGGCCTCTGCTGCTCCAGTGGCCGCCATGCCCGGGCTGGTGGATGGGGCGGGGGCCGAGAGCTGGAGCCAGGCCCCGCCGCTGTACAAGGAATACCGCCCGCCGCCGCTGGACGCCATCCGCCTGCCCAGGTACGCGCTGTACCTGCTGCTGGCCGCACTCCTGGTGGTGGCCGTGGCCTATGCCATTGTCGGGCATCTCATCAAGGACCTCGCCCATGACCTGGCTGGTGAGCCCCAACCCACCATCAGCCTGATGGGCTAGTGCTGGGCCCCGGAGGGGGTTGGTCTTGGGGCCTCTCCCAGTCAGGGAGGTTAGGAGGGTGGACAGGGGACTGGGGAGGCTGAGGGCCTCTATGGGTTCAGTGCAGGGGGTGGAGGGTGGGCAGGGCCCGGGGAGGCTCCTCACCAGCCTCTTGCCACAGACTGGGCCTTTGGCCCAAAGCCAGACCAGGAAGATGCCCCCCGGGAGCTGCGCCCAAGCCTGGAGGGTGAGGATCTGGAGGAGCTAGACCTGCAGCTGGCCCTGGCCTGGCGGGGTGACGACGACACTGGCGGGGGTGACGAGGGGGCCCCTGCAGTAGCCCTCGCCCAGGTCCCCCAGTGCCCCTCCATCGCCTTCAAGGAACCACCCACTCAAAGCTCCTTCTGGAGGCTGGACTGAGCTGGGTACTGCCCTCGGACCCAACACCTGGATGCCAGCTGCTTTGGAATTGTACTGACCAGACTTGCGCTCATCGAGTCCTTTCCCCACTGAGCTGCGCTGTCTTGGCAGAGAACATTCTCTTTCTTGGCTGGCAGGTTCTGGTGGGTGGACACTAACTGTTCCCACACTCCTGCTCCCCAGTCTCCCAGAGTTTAACCCCACCCAGCCTCCACCAAGCTGTTGGGAATCTGTAAAACAAGAATACCAAGAAGATTTTAAAAATAGTAATAGTTGCCAGCCCTTACCTAGTTGTTAGTATGTGCCTGCTATCGTGTTAAGTAAGCCCTTTCCATGTATTATCTCATTTAATCCTCTGAGGGGGACTTAGTGCCCCCATTTAACAGATGGGGAAACAGAAGCACACAGCCCAGAAATGACTTGGTTGGGGTTCTGCCCCCACTCGCTCTGCTGGGCTCCTCTACCTTCAAATATCCACACCCTCCACACCCTCCACACCTCATTCCCAGCTCTGCTGCTCTGCCGCTGGATCTTTCTCTGGCAGTCCTGACTTCCCAGTTAGCCTGAGAACTTGAGGACAACACCTGAGGCTTCCTTCCTTTCCAAGCTTTGCACAGGACAGGGCATACAGTAGGAGCTTCATATATGCCTGCTGGCTGGTTCAAGTGGGCCTCTTCTAGGGCTGGGTTGCCTGAGCAATGTCACCTGAGTGGCCCATCTGCACAATGGTTATAGTCAGACCTCAGGAAAGGAGGAGGCTCCAGGTATACAGAAGGTACTCTATAAATGCATGTGCAATGATGCTGGCATTCCCCAGCCCCCAGGAACCCTGCGGAGGCCTCACAGGCCTGAAGAAAAGCCAGCTCCCCACCCCCTGGCCTTCCTGCCATGTGCCTGGGCTGTGGCTGTCCTGTGGGTCCTCTTCCAGTCCAGCGGGGCCCCCTATCTAATCAACCCCGGGACCAAAGTTGACGGGCAGGAGAGCCTGGAGCCTGAGTCATCAGCTCCCTAGGGTGCCCCGTTCTCTGGCCACACGGGAGTGGCTGGGTTTGGTACTGGGCACATCGCCCATCCCTGCCAGTTCAGATGCTCACCCTGTCAGTGACTGTGGGTCCCCAGGGGTTGGGGAGCCAGGATGAGACAGCATAAACTGGTGGTGAGGGAGACCTGAGGTCAAATCTGCACGACCTCTGTGCTCCTGGTCTCACTGAGCTATGAAATGGGGGTGGTAAATTTTGTGGGGTGTTCAGAGAAGGAAACAACATAACCCATAAAAGCGCTGAGCCTAGGCCCAGAAAAGAAGGTTAGAGCCATCTCAGCCTCAGGGTGCCAGGCTCCCTGGGTTAATTGTTACACCAGGTCCAGACTCTGCCCTCCCAGGGGGAAGGGAGGGATGCCAACCAGGTAGGGTAAAGGAAGGGCCTGCCCCTGCCCCTGCCTCGGACCCACCTGCGCCTTATCAGGGGCTGGGCAGGGCCTCACAAGGCCAAAGAGGACTATGCTCATCTGAACGGCGCACTCCAGCTGCTGGCTCCTCCAAGGCCATGGAGACCCTGGGGACCCTGGAGACCCTTCTCGTGCTCAGCGCCCTGCTCCTCTTGCCTGCTGAAGCACAGCAGGGTAGGGAGGTCCCACCTCTAGGGCCGTGGGGTGGGGAGGGGCTGTGGGGACGAGCTCACCATATCCCCTGAGAAGAGGGGGCAGGCAGAAGACGAAAGGCATCGGGCCCTTCTTGGAGCTCACCTCCCCAGGCTGAGTCCCCAGCACCCTTCCCTTCTCTAAAACCCATCTGTGACACCCAGCGCCTTTCCAGGACCCCATCTGTCTAAGCAACCCTCGCTCCCTTCTCCCCTTCACCTTCGGCGGGGCCCTGCATTCCCCCACCTCTGAGTCCCACCTCCCCACACCTTCCAACAGCCACAGAACGTCGCCTGAAGCCGTGGCTGACGGGCCTGGCCGCTGTTGTGGGCTTCCTGTTCATAGTCTTCATCCTCATGCTGGTCAACCGCATCTGGTGTTCCAAAGGGAGGTGGGAGCCCCTCTCCCCACAGCCCCCCACAGCTGCCTG